TAGTTCATTGATCTTGTATCCCATTTTTCATTGATTCTTATAAAATTTATTGACTGTCTATTCTACCTTGACACTGTAAATGTGCATTTGCCAACCACATACGATATTAAAACTCACTTATTGAACACTCACATTGCCAGGAAATGCTGTGAGTGACTTTCATAAACTCACTTCTTAAATCCTCAAACAATCTTCTGAGCTTCATACTTCTACGGAATAATTAGCTCCATTTCTTAGATGAGGAAAGCAAGGCAGAGAGAGTAGAAATTCTTTGGCCGAGAATACCTAGTTGGAACCTAGAAGAGTCTGCATCTTAACCTCTACTCTATATTGCCTCTGGTAGGAAGTAGACTTTGTATCTTCAGGCACATCATGGTTTTCAATCTTCTCATGTGTGCCAATGTTCCAGTTTGAAACAGCTACACTTTTATCTGCCTAGATGATTATTTCTTACTGTGGATATTCAAAACAGACACTAATCTGCTAATCCGAGGTGAAGCCATCTCTGACACTCCTACTCACTGTGATCTTTCCTCCTGCTAGCTCAGAGCATTTCATGTTTGCATCATTCAATTTAAATTCAAGCACACACAATTTTCTGATATTTTGCTTTGTTGTTTAACTCTCTGATACACTGCAAGTTCAAGGAAGACCAAGCAAACTGGTATATTTCTGCATGTCATTCATGTATGTAGCACAGGATTGTGTATGTAGTATGCATTTACAAATGTTCGTTGAATGATGTTAAGCTCAGTCTCCAAAGGAAGCTTTTCCATTAGTGATTACACCTGGCCACAAAATTATGCCTGGCTATTAGCACTTAGTAACAGTGTTTTCTTTATGTGTACTCTTTTATCAGAATGTCTTTCTTCCTCCCCTCCTCAGACTTGATTAGCTTTTACTTATCTCCTAAGGCTTAATGTAGTTCTCATATTTCCAAGAAGCCTCCCATGACATGGATTTCCAGTTGGTCGTAGGTTGTCTTTAGTATTTCCATAACATCTGATTTATTCTTCTCTGTCACACTGTCTACTGAAGTTTTTGACTTCAGTATCTGGTTTTACTTCTCTAGACTGTGAACTTCTGGAGGACAAGGATTGTATCTTACTTAGTTTATGTTCCTACTGCTTAGCACAATGCAGGTATATAGAAAATGATCCATGAATATTGACAAATGAATGAGTGAATGAAAACAAAGAAATACTAATATGTTTTTAACAGACTGCATGATGAGAAGTAAGATACAGAATGTATCCATGGAAACAATATAAAAATATCAGTAGTTCTATTTCACAGTTAGCCAAAAGCTTCCTTATCAGCATGAAATAGTTAAAACCATAGTATATATCTGTAAATGCAACTTAATTTTTTGACCGGGAGGGATGCTGGAGATTGAACCCAGGGCATTGCTCCTGCCACCCAAGTGTTCGACCACTGATCTGAGCTCACAGCTCCCACTTTAATTTTGAATACTTACAGTGTACTAGAAGTTGCCACCTAGAAAATGATACTTCCAATTCACTAACATCCTGTGCACTATGCCAGTTAATTCTGGTGATTGGGATTGTATCTCTGGCAAGCCAGCTTGCCACAAATGGCTATTCCACAAATGGCTTGCCTTTCAAATCATGCAGGGGCCATTTACTTCTTCACTCTCTATTCTTATTCAGGATTGAAAGGGTGGCAAGCATTTCTCCAGCGTCTACTTCATGAGTTGGATATTTTCCAATTGCTAGTGAGAGGGAGACAAATCTAGAAGATATTTCCAAGCATGAGGTGTGATCGTCTCAATTAATATACTTACTGTGCTGACAGCTCTGGCCCAAACCACCTTCTATCCTACTTGGGGACTGTCCATTGTTCTCTAGTGTATGATTAGCAGATTAGCTATCATGTAAGAAGCCAGGAAAATGAACTCCCAGTAAGCCCTTCCAAAGCAAGAGTAATTCATTACCCAGCCTGATTTCCACTTAAAATGTACTTTAAGCACACTTCCAACTACAAACCCTAAATCATCGTGCGTTCACAAAGTCCATCATTTTTTATTTTATTGCATGGCGTTGGCGTGACATAATCCCTTGCAGAGCATCTCGGAGTGCTTTACAGATCAATAAATTACTTACCTGCACAGTTGAAGCAATGTCTGCAAGGCCAGTGCTGACATTCTGCAGGCAGCCTGTCCTCCATGAAGCAAGTGAGGCTGTGTAAGTGCCAAGAATGGGCAGAAACAGAGACCAGAAAAATGTCTGAGCAGAGGGAATAGTGCATAAGAAGGAAATACTCCAGATAAAGCTCTGTGAATAAAATACATCAGGGTTTTTTTCTGCAAGATCAGTTTAAATTATTCTAGAACTAAAAGAATTTAGAAATTTGGGGCTGGAGTTGTGGCTTAATGGTAGAGCACTTGCCTAGCACATGTGAGGCCCTGGGTTCGATCCTCAACACCACATATAAATAAATTTAAGAGAAAGAACCACTCACAACTAAAAAAATAAAAATAAAGAATTTAGAAATTTGTAACTGTCAGAAAATCAGAAATCCAACACTCAGTCATTAACTCATCAATTTTCTGTCTTAGAAGGTCCAATTGAGCTTTTAAAATGATATAATCATAAATTACAATATTACATCTTTTAAGAGACCCACTTTGAAGAGCAAAGAGTCTATCTCCAACTCTCACCACATCCATTTTTCATTAATTTCTGTTCCACCAAATATCTGTGAAAGTTCAAGCACATCTTTGTGCATACACATGCATACACTCCTGTGTACACATGTATATATGCACACACACATGCACACTGTCTGTATCTGAAGCTAGTTGATTAATTAGTCTAATACTAATTAATCAGGGCTTACCCTATGCAAAACACCCTATTCAAGACAGCAGAAAATTAAGCAATGAATAAGACTTTTATTTAACATTTTCTATTTAGATAATTTATCGTATAGAAAGAAGGGTGAGACAAATGTAACATAAGGAAGTTTATTTTGAATGCCATAAGGAAGATACTTCAATGCTCTGGAATCCCTAGATGCCCTGGAAGGTTATATGGAAGGGGTAGTAGTTCAATCAGGACTTGAATAATTTTAATACATGTAGTCAGAGAGAAGCATGTTAGTGCTCACATGCAAGGCAAGGGACAAGAAGACCAAAGTGAACCACATGCTGTGAACCATGAGAACTCTCATTTGGGTATAGGACTTAAACAGAAGGAAATGATGGAGGAGGGACAGAAAGAGGACTGAGAGAACTTATCTTTGCAATATCCCATTTTCTTGTTGGCAAAGTTCTAACATAATTAGAAATGGGTAAGTAATGTTTCAACTAGAGCTGAGACCACCATTGGTATTTCCAGAGCAAACTGATTTTACTAAGTGTGTAGTTTTGAAACAAGAAATAAAGTCATCGTGGAGCTTCCCTGAGTTCTCCAGTGAATCATGTTGCCTACTGGGAATGTCATATGCCATGGAATTGCTGAGAGTGGTGACTCTGAGGAATATTGACTCAAGGAAAGAATATAACACAAGGAAACATAAGAGCATTCGATGGAAAGGTCACTTAATTGGTCCAGAACTAAAGTGTCAATCCTGTGTTGGTATGACTGAAATAAAGTGTGATAATGATCCATCTCTGAGTCTTTTAGGAATATGAAGCAGGTTGGGAAATTTGTTCCCTTGAATAACCATTATAATTCAATCCTATAAATATTTGTAAAGCTTTTACTGTGAATACAACAAGAGGAAGACATGGTTCAGACCACCAGAAAACTCATGGTCTACTTGATGCTAAGCAAATATCTAGAACAGTGGGAAAAGTGCCTACAAGTGGCATTTGGGGACTCAATAAATGGAATTCTTAATTTACTTGACTTATAAACTATTTCACACATTAGACAAATGAGCAGTCACATGGAGAACCAAATATCACATTGACTAGGAGTAAAGCTGATCCTGCATAAGACTCAGAAGTGTAGCAGAAAATGAACTTCTAAGAAAGGGCCTCAGAATGAGACCAACATACACAGACAATGGCTAGTACTTACCCTGTCCCTGTGGACTGCTGCTTCCTAATACAAAGAGGAGGAGTAGCACAATAGCCTGACTCCAAAACAAAAGACCAAGAAAGTAAGAGCCCTGTTCCCAGCTTCATTCATTCGGATGAACATTTCTTCTCTTTGGGAAGATGAATTTAGGGGAGAGAGAGAGAGACTAAGCAAGTTTGCTAACAGCAATGATATCTTTGATTCTTCATTGAGGGTTTATGAAGTTTAATAGGAGAGTGGGCAAAGAAACAACATTAAATTTGAGTTGTTAAGGAGGTCAAAGATGTGTAGAGGTAGTGATGGCTGTGACAAAGAGAGTGACATTTGAATTGGACCATAAAGTATTACTGGGAGTTGTCCAGGAAGGCTGTGAGAAATGCCATAGATACACATGCACGAGGATCAGAAAGGATGTGATGTATTAGGGGTCAGCAAATTAGTAAGAAGAGGTGGAATCACTAGAAACGATAATGGAAACGTATGTTGAAACTTGGTTCTGAACAGCTCAGTTTGCTTGGGTAAGGGGCCTGTTTATGATCAGGTAAGCAATGGAGCAATTCAAGATATTTAGGCAGAGATGTGTTATGATCAGAATTGCATTATGTAAAGACATCTCTGAATGCAGTGAGACAAATGGCTCTTGGATATGTGTTGGAGATGGGTGGGGGTGAGAGTGAGACGGGAAGGTGTAGGCTAGAGGAGTAGTTATTGCAGTATTACAGTGGAATTTATTCTCATTTGGACTCTGACTTTATGTTTAAATAGGAAGAAATGGAAGCTAAATTCAAGGTAAGCCATTTTTCATGTTTAAGATCATTCCTCTAATTTCTTAGCATTACAACTACAGTCCATATGTTTCAGTTTGGGGAATATTCTATCAAGTGTCATTTTAAGACAACAAAGAAATGTGTCAGCTGGATTTTTATTTTTCTTCTACCTGTTTTGTCTCCACAGTGTCCCCCAAAATTGTAGAGATTTCTTCAGATATCTCCATTAATGAAGGAAACAATATCAGCCTCACCTGTATAGCGACAGGTAGACCGGAGCCTACAGTTACCTGGAGACACATCTCCCCCAAAGGTAAGAGGAGCAGTTTGGTGCATTGTATCTTGAGAGGAAATGGGAGACTTGTTGGATATGGACAGGAGGTTATGGTGCTAGATACTGAGTGCAAGGGTGTCAGTTTCTGGTACCCAGCTAATAATGCACTCTTGGCTCTGAAGAGGATATGGTCTGCAAGGCAGCCATGTCCTTCAAGATTTTAGAAATCATACTTCAGTATCTCTCCAGGCCCCTGGGAAATTGATTCCAGTTGTCTGTGGCTGAAATAGTGGTTCAGATGTCCTGGGTTAAATTTATATGTCAAGTTTGATGATGGAAGGATTTGCTTTGGTGGCATTATTCTTTCAGCTAGTTGCTTTAAGAGAAAGGAAAACATGAACACATAATGATAGATGAGAGGTTTAAATGGCCACATTCCTAAAAGGAAAATCTGCTAGTTTGGGTCTCTTCAGAATTGCCAAAAATCTGGTCATTAGTTGTTTTTGTGGTTTTGTTGTTGCTTTACTCTGACTGATCCTAGACAACAAATAAAACTTAATATGTGGCTAAATTACAAAATTCATTTTATCTCAATGTTTAGATAATTAAGCTAATTTTTCTCTGGGAGCAAGGAATATAAAAGCATTTCACTAAATCTTAAATATTTACTGAGTATTACAGTGGTCTATGCTCTGTTTTAGGCACTAGAGGATTAAGTCATAAACCCAAATTGACAAATTACTGTTCTCAGCAAATCACATTTTATGTGATAGATTACCAAAACAAATGAGTAGACAATATACCAGGTGCTGATAAGGATGAGAAGATAGAGACATACATTGACAGAATGGCAAGGGGTTCCGGCAGGGAATTGTTTTGAAAATGTTAAATCTGAGCCAAGACTTGGACAAAAATCTTTAATTCTATTTTTTGTATCACTGGTTAGTGTGAAATGTATGTATATAATCACAGATATCTGTGTATGCATGCTTTGCATAGTACCGGTTTAAGAATTGCAAAAGTACCATGGAGGATATTTGCTTGTCACAGATTGAGAACCCCAAAAGCAAACCTTGAGATTGTTATTGTTGGTAAGTAATCATTTTGGGAGGTGCTCTTGGGATCAACTCTTGTGGAAAGGGAGAGACGGAAGCAAGATTGGGCAGAAGGACAAGTTGAGTTGTGATGCGGTTCAATGGAACATCTCAGCTGCCCCTATGGGGAGTCCTAAAGCTAGGACACCTTTCAGAAATATCCTCTATTGAGGCAATGGAGCTGGCTCTTTACAGCAGCACAGCAGTCGGGTGTTGAATGTAGGCTATTCCTAAAAGCGCTGTAACCTTAGGCCAGGTATCTGTCTGAGAGCAAGACAAACCCCATTATGAACTAAAAATTTAGGACTGTCAACCAGCAGTTAGTTCTTCTCGGGGACATGGGTCCTCAATTCCTGAAGGTGACATCACTTTACACTTGGAAATTTTAAAAATCTAGAGTAGAACTGCAGTGATTTCCACATACTGAATATCCTTTCTCTGACAGTAACAGTATGCTATGATAGATGTTCTCAGAGAAGGTGAGAAGATTTCAGTTTGGGTTGTCCTGAATTCTTGAGTGTTGTCCTATGCCACCATTCTTGATGATATTACTGTGAACAAAGGGATTGGTGAGAGCTACTCATGTCTCTGTCAATCTTTCCATTTGAAATGACCTTATGTGTGGATGGGCCCAAAATCTGGGAGGATGCTCAGCTGTGCATGAGGTCATTAGGGATAAAGAAGGGCCTCAGGGCACTGCTGAAGAAGGGGCCATCCAAATGGACTGACTTTCTGAGTCCATAGTGCACACCATTCATCACAGCTTAATGCCGAGTCCCTAGTGCTATGGGATGCCAGGGCAGGCTGTGCCTGTGGAATCAGCAGAACATTTATCATCTGGATGGACTTCCTTTGCCTCATGCTAAGAGACTCTGTCTCCTGTCTGATGTCTTTTTCAACCCATCCTCAGGCTAGTCAGTTCTTTGTCCTTGTCTGGGTGTCTGCCACGTCTCTTTCACACATCTCCTTGTGCCCTGCCCTTTTATGCCTACGTCTCCCCTATAGTTTTTGTTCTGTACCTCTCTTTACTCTCACAGCTGCCTACATTTTGTGCTTTAATTTCATTCCTTTGCACTTTTCCTCCTTTCCTCTCTTCCTCTGTTCCATCCACCACCCTCTCTCTTCCTCATGGTCACATGTTATCTCTCCTCAGTATTGAGCCTCTTTCCTTCATCATACAGATATTCATGCTGTTTTGTCTTGGGGTCTTTTTTTGTCCCCTGTTGTAGACATCTAGCAGATTTCCTTCCCCAGGGGACTTTTACCTGAGCCTGGGCCAGATGCTGCCATTTTACTGAGGTTTTAGCTACTATGGAAACAGAAGATGGATCAAGGGGAGAGGAACTGAGTGATCAGAATCTATCTGCAGCTTAGAGTAATTTAGATGAACAGCTTTGTCCAGATACTGGTCCCAGATTAGCTATCCAAGATTCAGGATGATGAGACTTGCCAAGCAACAACGAATCACCTCAGAACTCACCAGGGCACTGTGTTTCCTGTGACTGATTATTTAGAGATCAGAGATGTCATTGGGCTGCTGCCAAATCTGAACTGAAGCTGGAGACCCTTAGCAGTCAGGCCTTCATCTTTCATCACTAAATATTTCCAAGATAGCGCTTACTTTAAATAAATTAAGACAAGTATGGGGTTCTTTGGAGAGAAGGATATTTACCTTCAGCAAGGCTCCAAAGGCAGAGAGCTACTGTCATCTTTTGTCTCATTTTGTGAAGGTAGATTGTGGTTCAGTCAAGATCATTTTTACACACACACTAAATTCTTGAATGAATATCTGATTGGAAAACCCTGATGGCTTCATTGAATGTTTTCCCTGAAGACTGATCTGTTTGTTCTGTACATTCCTGAAAAATCATGGTTTTATCCATCATAATTCATATGGTGCTACCTGTAAAAGTCATAATCTCTTTAGAATAAAGTATCTCTAGTTTTGAGCACCTTTTGTGTGGAAAAAGGAATACAGAAATGTCAGCCACTATTTCAGTATTGGGTCATGCATTTGAGGTAGGGAATCTTGGCAGTGGGAAAGGAGGTCAAGAGGCCTCGCCTAGGCTTTTCCATCAGATGGAGAAAATACCAGTTGTCCATAGAAAGCATGGAGAAGAGGATAGGGCCTCCCAAGCTACCTCTTGAAATGCTGTTGATTATAATAAGTAGTTATTTCTGGAATTTGTCATGTCTTTGTTTCTATCATGGACTTATCACTCCTAGAGTTCAAGGATAAAAGTGCACTAACTTTTTAGAGATGTCTGTCTTACCTAGAATATCTATTTTGTGGAATGCAGATGTTATTTGCACCTGTGTGGGTCTTGGTCTTTTCAGGGGAAATAACCCCCATCTCGTGTTCTCATAAGAAAGAGCCATCTCTATCTGTGTAGGGTTTTACTGGCCCCAAGTCCAAGTTCCTGTAAGTGTCAGTTAGCAGGGGGCTCCTGGCCTTGAGGAACTCTGGGGGAATCATTGAATCCTCTAGATGCATTTCTCATTCAGGAGTCTGTTCTTTTGTCTTTTATCTTTAATGGGTGAATGTATTTTAGCACAGCCCTTAAACTCAAGGATTAATATCTCTACTAGAGTGCCCTTACTACTGCATTACTCTTCTCAGTCTTTTCTGAGTAAACAGAAATATGATCTTTTTCAAAGTATTCTAAAACATGAAATGCAGGAACTCACTCTTCATAAGAAATAATTCCTCAAACTCTGTCACCGGTTTCTTTGGGGTTGTAAAAGCCTTATGAAAAGCCTGAGATTCCTATATTGTCACATTCTTGGGAGCACATGATGAAGCTCAGATGAAGGAGTCAGTCCAATCACTAATCTGGGGTATCTCACACATTTAGAATCAGGAATCACTGAGTGGCCTGATTGAACTCTCTCTGCAGTACAGTTACCTTCACCTTTTTCTCATCAAAAAAAAAAAATAAATAATTGGCCTCCATAACCTCTTTTAAGCTGCGTAAAGGACATTCATAAAAAAGTATTAATTGGGTGTTCAGTCTGTGTCATTGTATATTGCATGTGTAACTTGCTGTAGATGTATACAGGGGCATACACCCAAGGGTTTATCTTGATTTTCAGAGAAGACTTTGGACTTGGACAATGGTGGAACTGTTAAGACTATAGGGACTCTTGAAGATGAACTGAATACATTTTGCATTGTGTGATTGACACAAGGAGAGCCAGGGGTGGAATGTTATGTTCTGCTTCATCTCAGGTCTAGAGCAATGATGTTGGCTGACCATGGAATAAAACCTCTGACACCATGAACCCAAAGTAAACTTATCTTCCTCTTGTTGCTGTCAGGCATTTTAGTCACAGTGGCAAAAAATTGACTAACACATGGGGACTTGGGGATAACACCAGGAGCTCTTCAGGGAATTCTTCATTCCTGAATCATTTGCATTATCCTGTCTCATGAGTTCCTTGAGATCAGGGTCTCTGGGTCACTTATCTTGAATTTTTCACATTCTAGCATGATGCTGGGCACCTACAAAGCATTCAGGAAACAGATGTTGATTCAGCCAATAAGCCATGATATTTTCCAATTCCCCAAAGTGTCATGCCTGTTCTCTCCATGTGAAGATTCTGATCCTTGAGGAATTTTCCTCCACTTTGATATTTGCAATGGAGACCTGGTATGTTTCCTGCTGAAACTCTCTGCTGGCAAGTCTCCAGGACATTTTTTTCCCCTCATCTTCACAGGTTTTCGAAGCCCTTCCTGCATCCCTCAGAAGGGAACCAGCTGTGGCAGGACTCAATTTCTGCTTAAAGGAGAGCCTCTATTTCAAGTTCATTTTTGCAAGAGTAGAAAAGGTTCACAAATGTTTTTGCTGCTGTGTTTTTTTTTTAATGTCTCTCTGTTTTCCTCACTGCCTTATTGTCATCTCTTTCCTCAGGGGCATTTCTCAGAAATGCTCTTCCTCTGTCACT